CTATATTTCATATTATCATTTAATGATAAAATATTTATGTATTCCAAAGCTATGAATACTTCACCGACTTAGCAGGAAGGTATCTAAAGCCTTGACATTTTAGGTCAATATCTACACAGAAAAAAATTGAATTGAACTATTTTACAGAACGTAATTTACTATAAAGTATTTTATTACTATAAAGCAAGAATCTTATCTTATCAGTTGCATTTATATAAGTTACTTTCTCCAGTATTAATCAGAGTGTAATTGTACGAGATTATACCTCCAATATGAATTACAGATTGTAATTGTACAAGATGCTAATAACAATTTTCAGATTGTAATCATACGAGAATGTGCTGATACAATAACAATGAAATTTTTAGAACGAAATTAACAATTGTTTTCTTGCAAAAATTCTTGTAAACAATATTTAAATGTATAATAAAGTTGATAAAATAACAATAATGATATAAATGTTATGAAATATAAATGTTATAATTATAAAATAAATACAAATATCATAATTTTGGAGTATTAAAACGTATTGATCAAATTTTTTTTTTCTTAGGTATAAAATGGTGCGCGGCATTAAATGGGTAGACGAAGTAGTCGAAGCTGCACCCTATGTCACTACATTAGAAACATTAGATAAATATAACTGTGATTTTTGTGTTCACGGCGATGATATCACAATGACGGCTGACGGCGTGGACACGTATCATTTAGTCAAGGCAGCCGGCCGCTACAGGTAGTTTCTTCTTTAAAAAGATATTAAGATAGAAATTATTAAAGATATTACAAATTAATTTATTTAAATATTTATTAAAAATTATATATAGTCTTTTATGAAGAAGAGACTTGATTATTTCAGAGAAGTCCAACGTACAGCCGGTGTTTCAACGACCGATCTTGTAGGACGTATGCTGCTGATGACACGACAACATTTTCGACAGGGTGACAACGAATACAGCGTCGATAGAGAACCGAGCAAGAGCATGGGTCAGGATCGAAACGCTCGGAGTCCGTGGACTGGCTGTTCGCAATTCTTGCCGACCACACAGAAAATTATACAATTTAGCGACGGCAAAAGTCCGCAGCCGGGCGATAAGATTGTGTACGTAGCAGGCGCGTTTGACCTCTTCCATGTGGGGCACTTGGATTTCTTGGAAGTCGCTAAGAAAGAAGGAGACTACCTCATTGTCGGTCTGCATACCGATCCCGCCGTTAATCGATACAAATGCGGCAATCATCCTATTATGAATCTTCACGAACGAGTTCTCAGTGTGTTAGCGTGTAAGGTGAGTCTTCTTTTTGCGCTTCTGAAATTTTTTATAGTATCTGCACAAGATAGCGTGAAAAAATATGTGCAATAAGATATTAACATATAAGATTATTCATTGTATGAATATAAGACACAATCTGCGCAGAAAATTATGACGCATTTTCAGTGGAAAAAATCTGATGTCATGTCATTAAAAAGGATATAAAGATTATATCTTAGTTTTTATACATTATTATAATCTTTTTTTTTTTTAATTTCCAGTATGTTAATGAAGTTGTTATTGGTGCGCCATATGCAGTGACAAGAGAGCTGATGGAACATTTCAATGTTTCTGTCGTGTGTCACGGACAAACGCCCATAATGCCTTGCGAGGATGGATTGGATCCATACGCGGAGCCCAAAAAGCAAAATAAATTTAAATTGTTAGATAGCGGTAACGATATGACAACGGAAAAAATTGTTGAAAGGATCATTCTTCACAGGTATGTTTTATCTTTACAGTTATGTTATGCATGTATACTTTCTTTATATCACACTTTCTAAGAACAATTTTTACTTTAATCTAGAGAAGATTTCTAATGATAATTTATACATTTATAATAATATATATAAATATATATTTTTTAGTTAAGAAATTCTTGATGAAATTACATGAATATATATTTTTACATATTGTCTCAACAATTTCTTCAATTTGTTTAGATTTATAACAAAATATGTATACAAAAATTATTTAGCTTTTTTATTATTCACATTTATAAGTGTACAATAATTGTTGTGAGAGAATACAGTAACTGATTACGTTATTATTTAACGGACAATATGTTATTTGATAATATATATGTATTGACTTCCGTCCTCGAGTTGTTATATTTTTATTTAAACTCCAAAAGCTGAAAATGTTTGATATATTCCTCTATATTTCCTATCTATACCCGTAATAAAATTGATATTGCAAAAATAAAACATCTTAATTAGGTCAAAAGATTAAAAAAACAATTACATATTAATTTTTCATATTCTGCTTTTTATCCCCTTAGGCCGAACGAGCTTTATACGGTTATTAAGAATTTCAACAAACGTTGATAAAATCTGGTTGTTTTGTATTCTTTATTCAATTATTAAGTAATCGTTAATGGGACAATCTGGCAGTTCTGTATTTTCTATCCAATTTGCAATAAACGCATATTTACGTACTTCTCATTATAATTTGTTGTCATTCATTCATTTACTGCTTCTGATGGGATATGTAATTTTATTCATCATGCAAAGTATTTTTTTGAGTTCCATTTTACTCCATTTTTCTCATTTACCGCGAGATGTAGTAAATAGTAGTCTATTTCAATGATAACACATCCACATATCCCAACAACTACGAGCATTCCTATCACGTGTTGATCTAGCGTCTAATTGCAGGTTGGAATTCGAGGATAGAAATTTAAGGAAGGAGAAAAAAGAGCTTGCCGCTTATGAAGCCTTCATCAAGTCAAAGAACAATGACAAGATTGAATAATTGTTTATTTTGTTTTTTTTTCTGCGAACATTCGCAGTATGTATGTGTGATGATTAGATTTTATAAAGTCAATGTGTAAATACGATGTCACACCGACACTCAATTTATCATTTCGAAATGCCTTACATAGTTAAATGAATAAAATAAAATGAATAATCAATTAATATATGCTAAAAATAGCAGTTAGCGATGTGGAAATCCACGTTAGTTTTGCTTTGTTGCAATACATTATATGATTAAATAATATACAACGACGACGATTATGAAATTAGATGAATATATGCAAGGTGTGTCAGGACTATCATTCTATGGACATGGCTTGTTTTTATTAATTTTTAATCCATTGTTTAAAAAAAAATATATTTTATTTAGTTACAAATGAAAATTAATATCTTTTTTTTTATTATACATTTTATACATTTTTTGGAAATTTTGAAAAGATTTTATCAACTAAATTTGATGCGATATAAAATCCGGAAATTAATATATTTTATATAATTATTTTATAATTGTGTAACTATTATTGTAATTGACATTGCAACTGATTTAACCTTTACAGGACGAGAAAGTCTACATATATCCATTATAATGGTGTTAACAATGTTACATTTTGAGACAAGAAATATATACAATGAAATTATAACAAATCTTGGAAATTTTAAAGAGATTTTGTCAACTAAATTTGATGCGACGTAAAATCCGGAAATTAGTACATTTTATACATTAATTTAAAATTGTGTAACTATTATTGTAATTGGCATTATAATTGATTTAACCTTTACAGGATGAGAAAGTCTATATATATATATATCTGCTATAATGGCGCTAACAGAATTATATTTCGAGCAAGGAATATATACAATGAAATTATAATAAATCTTATTTAAGGAAAAATTGTAAGATTTTAAAAATAAATTCCCGTCCTTTAAAGGTTTTAACATTCGAACTCTGTTGATTACTGAATTACGAAAAAATGAAAAGCTGGTGTTATCGCTTCATCCGATTTCTTCAATTAAAATAGCAATTACAAATGACAACATTGATTTTTAAGATACATTTATTGAGTTTTATTGTGCTTTAAGACTAATTTTAATTGATTCTTTCAGCAGAAACTTATGTAAATTAATTTTGGACTTATATTTCTAGTCACAGGGTCTAATGAAACATAGCCCTGAAACACCGTACATATATTTCGACATATCTCTAAAAGACAAAAGTTGAAGGTATATCGTGTGTTATAAAGTCTTTGAATGTAGATATGTCTAGTAATTAAATTATTGTCTCACGTGATGTGAACATGTTGTGATGTCGTTGCTTGATTTAAATATCGAAATAATCAATTACATATATAAGCAATCATGTGAGACATGTAGAAACGAAGATCGAATATTTTATAGTTATTGAATATTTTGAGTCAATATTTTGAGTTTTTGAATTCCGTTACTCTCTTTCTTATGCGATAATTTTCGTATGAATTTAGAATTCTATCATTTTTATTCTTTCTATGTACACAGAGCATTTATTATTTATTCGATTGGAGTTTTAATACTTTTGAATAAATTATCAATTATTAGATATAGTTTGAATTTCATTGAAATAGTGACATGTTCGGTCTTCAAAGAAAAATTATTCTCGTTGTGCAATATGGGGTATATTTTTTTTTATTTTCGAAGTATTTTACGCGTTTAATTAGCAAAAATATATTGGAACGCGAGTATTCCGTAGTCCTTTATCCAAGAAATAGTTGAGATTGGCAGATAAATGAGCTAGGCTCGTGATTCGGTCTAATTAATCGGAAGTTCCTAAGCATTTACAAATGCCTATCGCTTATTTCTGAATGATACTGAGATCACGTTACTAGACGGCGATTCTTACGACCAAATTTCGGGTTCGTAAGATATCCAGTCAAGTAATTAATTAACTTTACGACAAGCATTGTTTATTGAGCAAATTATGACGCGTAATTTAAGACATTAGATTTTCTAATGGGAGATATATTACAATATATATTGTGTGTCCAAAAAAATATAAACGGAGCCAAAGACGTTAAGATTTACGGCGTATGTTATATAGACTGAATGAAAACAGTTACTGTTTATCTTCAACTTTAACTGTTTGCGTTTATGAGGAAATAAAGAGAGAAATGTTTGGCAGTATGTAATACTATCGTATATGAAGATGTTCGAGGATGTCCCAGATAAGCTATTGGAATTAGATATTAATCGCGAAGAACTGATGACTGTCTATCAGGTTTTCACTGAAATATGATTCTGTGATCAAGTCGACGAGTAATTTACTATTAAACGAAGAATCTGAGACATCCTATGCAACACAAACAGGTTCTTCGACCTGATAATAGCGATGGTATCGATGCCGATAAAGTTGTAGTGATAGTTGAACTAGATTACGCCGAAAGGAAAAAATTGTATAGTTGATGATTTTCTACAGAAGAGTCGAGATACCGAAAAAAGATTGTAACACGTAGAAAATATTGTTTAACTTTTTATTTTATAATAAATAGTCATTGTATACGTCACATCTACAATAATCGTAAGTAATATGTATTATGTTTTTTATAAATATAATTATAGTTACCTTCTTATAAGTTACTATCTTTTCTAATGTGATTTCTATCATTCATATTTGCATTTGTGTGAATCAATAAAAATTTATTAATTTAATAATGTACAATATTTATAATATATTTTTTTTTATAGATGAAGATCTTAACGTCAGAGATTTATACTGTTGCACTAAACCATTTTGAACAAAAATACTTTGGTATACGGATTAATTATTACGTTAAGAAGGTAACTATAGTTATCTTCACGGATCGATTATCGTGTCCTCAGAATCATACCTTGCACTAATACGCGATTAGTTTGCCTCCCCCCCTCTCTCTCTCTCTCTCTTTCTCTTATATCATTACATCGTTTTATTAAATGTATAAAACTTTAATTCTTTTTAGAGCATTCTTAAGATATCTTCGAGAGAGAAGGAAACTTGTCAAAAAAATGCAATCAGAGATTCATTAATTGCTCTAACATATTAACTAAATAATTCAACGAACAAATTAACTTTTTCTCGCTAAACTTTAGATTCCTTTCTCCTATTAAATCTTATTCTTCTATTAGAAATAGATTGATTCGAAATTTTCGTCACAGACATTCCTTCAATATATTTTTTATATATTTAACTGTAATATATTATATATATAGATTTTCGTAATAATATACGTATAAAATCTGCGCTGTTAAAAGATATGTTGTAAAATGCGAGCCGCATTTGTGTTTATTTACAAGGTGTGATAAATTCGTGCAACCACCCCAAATGTCCCGTTCGATTTCGATTATACGGCGAGGTTCTTATTATCTTATTACATGAGCGATCCGCTCGCTTGATCAGGTCACGTGATAGCATTGCACGTTTGAGAGACTCAGTAGTGAGATTATTTTTCGTATTTGAGCAATGTCGACATATTGTGAAACTTATGACAGAAATTGAACACGTGCGCGAAATGTTCGGAGAATATACAATATTAGTGCGTTACATATTAACTAATAAACGAATGAAGTTCTTTGAAACGCAGAAAAGAATCGATTAAATTAAATAATTTATAAATTAAATAATCATTAATAATTTTTGGCAATTTTCCTCATTCGTGTGATTGTTTATAAATAATAGACTTGATCAAAGAATCTAGTGACTATTAACAATCATACATTAGAATAGAAATTATTCTTTTTAAAACCTAAGACTTTTTTTTACTAGAATCAAAAAGTTAAAAATTGGGTAACAAAGAGAGACTATATAGTTGTATTTATATAGAAGAATTAAGAAGTGCTTCCTCGCGAAGACATATCGTGTAATCTATCGTAAGATAAAGCAATGTTTTATCTCTAACTTTAGTAACAAATTTTTTCACGAATTCTCAATTTATTTTCATTTGGTTCATCGTAAAAATTAATTTTTATTTTACACGGGAAGCACAGTCATTTACTACTAAACATTCTTCGTTACGAGAACTATTTTTATTCTACGGTGGGCGGTGTCGTTCGTTTATCTGAACGATTAATTCAGAGTTTTCGCATGAATCACTCCTCGACGAAGTTGCAACTAATATAACGTATCGTATCATATCGTATCAGTCAATGACGTTATCGAAGTATGGGACAAGTATCTTCTATATCTTGAAACGGAGAATCAGGTGGTTTGTAAACGTGACGTTGCACTCTTGCTCTGCAAATAAACATCCTTATCTCAAAGTAACGTTACGTTAATTATACACGATGCACGCGTGATGTACACTGTGAGGAGTATTCAATGCGATTTATATGTAATCTCTCTCAATCGCGCATCGCTCTATTGCATGGTCGAACGACCGGTATAGCCGGGCGTGATGTCACAATATTTCCTGGTGCGGTCTCTGACCAACTCGTCGATCGACTTGTTCTGCTGCACCGTCGAGGACAGATTGTGAAGACGCGACGCTAAGTAGCACATGATAAAGGCTGATAACACCAGTAGTGCACCCAATCCCGTCGCTACGTAGAGGAAATTTCCGCAGCTACCTTCGAGGCCGGCTGTCACTTTATCGTACAGATCTATGAGGTGAATATTAGAATTAACGATCACTTCACTTTTTTCTGTTTTTTCCCGTTATGTAACTCAAGGCTCTTTTATAAATAGCCGGATAATATAATATATTTTAGGCTTTACGGACTAATGCCTGTTTCTACCGATGTAGATTAACTTTAATCTCGGTTCAACTTACTCTTCATTTTTTTCTAATTTTTAGAACTAGAAAAAGATGAAGTGTAAGCTGAACCGAGATTAAAGTTAATCTTGGAAAAAAAATGAACATAAGAGATAAGACTAAGAATATTATGTAGAAAAAAAAAGAAATAAAGGATGTTAAAAAGGAGCTGATTTCCGTTCAAAAAGATGTAAATAAAAGAAAAAATATTTTTGTAGATTTTTCAATAACCTGTTGGATAAAGTTATAAAAAAGTTTGTAATGTTTGGAGGACATTTCGAAAATTAAGCAAAAATATTTAAATAAATATATTTGAATAAATATACCATGTTCGCATTCAATTTTTTTATGAATTTTTAAATAATTTTTTAATAATTTTATCAGGAGATCAAAATATGTCTATAAAAAATTATTTTTTTTACTTCCTTTTGAATAAAAATCAGTCCTTTTTTAAACATTCTCTTTTCTATTTTCTTATCAAAGTTTAAAATACATTAATTTATTATTGTGTTTTGATTTTTGCATAATATTTTGAATTAATTATTATATTGAAATTTCACGTTTAATAATTACAGATAATAAAAAGTGTCTAAAATCGGGTCATTAAACGTTTTTTGCGTCTGAAA